GGTCCTTTGCAAAACTCTGTGTTTCTTAAGCCAGTAGTTTCAGATGTATTCGTGATTTCCAGGCATGAATTACCAGCCTCTCCCCCAGTATGGATAGTACAGGAGACAAATAAAGCCCTTTTAATAGCGTGTCATCTACAGCTGTGTGTGGGAAGATTTTATGATGCAGAAAATTCACTCTGAGCATTCTCCCATGTAAGAATAACTCAGTCTCTGTGAATTGAGTTTATTAATTGGTAAATAGTGTGATTTCCCATTTCCCACTACCTTTTTCAAATACAAAAATATTAAACCCAGGCATTTCTTAAAATAAACTTTGGATGCCAGGATTTGTTTATTTAAAGGTTACCATGGTATCCAATATAGGGCTACTAACTGCACAACAAATCTACAGTCGATCTGTAAAAGTATAAATATTCTCAAAAATTTATGAAAGTGACTGTGCTGTATAAAATTTCAGATGTTTTTTAAAAGCTGAAGTGATGTTTGTTTGTTAAGAGTTATCGATAGGTATTGTAGTTTTTTAATGAAAAGAGTAGCTCTGGAGAGAACAAATTTATTTCTGTTTAGACCCTGGCTTTAATGTGGATTATTTTAATGAACTTGTCAGTGATTATCTGATGTGATGATGTTTTTCTCTACCTGACTATCATGGAGAAAACTATTAGTTTCTTCTACTGTAAGAACTGAAAATTACATATTAGATCTTGTGATATAGGAACAGGTTCCACCTCTTCAGATAGCGTCAGGTAGTCCAAAAAAGTAACTTGAATTGCATAAAAGAAATCTAAGGCTTAGGCTAAAGGAACCTTTAAAGGAAACAATGTTCTTTACAAACTCAATATTCTCAATGCAGTGTTAAGAGCAGTGGCTCTTTTTTTCATGTCATACTGAAGGCAGTACCGCAGTACACTGCAGATTGTCAATCAGATTACCAAATTAAAGGAAAACAAAGCATGAAAATAAAGCACATTCTTAACATGATCTATAGTTAAGTTTAGCCCTCATTCACTGCATTTGACATTCTGCTGCAGAGGAGGGTACAGTGGTGCAAGTCAGCCAAACCGTTTTGGAAGTGTCAAATGCAAATGCAGAAGGATAAAACATTACAGGAGTCACAGGAGAGCTCAGATTCAGCCCCTGTCTGTCTGCTCCCAACAAACCAGCAGGATTTCAACTTGCTGCTTTCTTTCCTGAGGTAGCAATAACAACTTTGTTTTCCCCTCCTAGCAAATACGACCCTAGTTTAGAGGATGGGTTTATGGCTGATAAATCTTATTTCAGATGATCCCAGAAAGCATAAGCAAATTTTCTGTGGTGAAAGAGAACTAGCCGTGGACTAGCTCTGGGGAACAGGAGTTGCAATATCTTAGGTTACGGCCTGTGTCCTTCTTCAAAGCTGATCTTTGCCATAGATTTGGTGGCTCGTGATAAGCCTCAGGGGTTTGGAGTAGCTTTCAAGCTCAACAGATTCTACTTTCCACCACTTAATTTTTCCGGTGCAGTTACAGTGGAATTTGAATACTGGTGATTTCCTTAGAAACCATGTTTCAGATGAAGAGTGTCAGTACTGGTTGCCTTCCAAGTGACATACAGCTGGTGAAATCTATCTTTCTGCTGTGCTCTCCATGGTACAGGTAAGTGGCAAGCTTTTTTCTTCCTGCATTAGCCTGATTGGTATTCCCATCAATTACCTGTACACAGTGTGCAAATGAAAGTGAGGGAACAGGCTGACTGATACCTTGCATGGAGAATAAATCCCAAATCATATCTGAATGTGACCTAGGTTTTGCTCTGTGTCTGAGGGCTCTATGCACTGAAAGAGGAGTGAAAGTGAGTAGATGAAAAATACCTTCTGGAGTCTTCTTTTTCTGAATGTAATTATTTATATTCTCAGTTCAAGAGTGGTGGGTCTGAGATTACCTGTCATGAAGACTTGGCACTAAGGACCTCAGGTCTGATGCTGCAAAAAACATATTTTTCTCATCTTAGTTTCCTTCCCCTACCCATTGAAAAAAAGTGATCAGCTACAATAGGGGAAGCAGCGTAAATTTCTTTCACTTTTCCCAGTAAAATTTGCCACTCCATGGAATTATTTATTTGGGTTTCATTTTGGATAAGTGTGATACACATCATGATATAAACCCTAAAGTAACTTTTAAAATGACATTCAGGACAACTGTCTTGACAAACAAAGCTTTTTTTTTTCTTTTTTTTTTTTTTTTTCATTATATTAGCATATTTTGCTCAAACATGAAGCGAAGTTATGGACAAACCCGACTTGTCATGTGCTTCATGGATTATAACAGCAAGGCTGTTTAATTTCCCATCCATACTCATGATCATATATATCAAAATAAATTACAACACATTTTTTCTGGTTAACCTTGTCACCTTTTAAAAACAATATACATTTAATACTTGAAGTAAGAAAAGAACAAAACAAATATAACTCTTTTTTTTGCACACACAAACATATACATATGAACTACATGTGCTTGCAATTAGATTTTAGTAAGTGTGATGGTATTTTAATATATATGCACTATGGCATCCTCCCCAAACAATGAGAGACTTGCTGTCATTTGTACTTGCCCAGAAGCCAACTTCTTACTATATATGGCTGTAAGCTCACCAGATCAGGGTTTTCATTTACTTCCTACTTATACAGTGCCCAGTGTAATGAAGCCAAAGTGTCATTTGCATTTAGATATCAAAATGGCATAAATTAATTCATCAAGAAGCAATAATATTTTGTTTTCTGAAAGATCAAAATTATTAACGTGTACAAGTTGACAACCATATTCACAGCTGCCTTGAAATTATGTGTCAAGAGACAATGTCGTTGACTTGCAAATACCACACACAGAAATAGGCAGACTTCTTTCAGGTTACAGATTTTTTTTTTTTTCCTTTTTTTCTTTTCTTCCCAGAATCTACATTTTCATATTCTCCAGCTCAGTTAGCAGTGGTAAATATTAAAGCAATCCAGAATAGAAGGTATGCCACAAGGTGAGAAAGAATTAAAACATAAATTCTGCTTATTTTCCACTATAGCCCAGTTAGTAGAAAGCATAAAAACCTAGATTCCTTTATCAAATTTGTAGTGTACCAAGGAACAACAGAATGGTGTCAAGAGGAATTCTCCTGATTTATATTGCCCGACTAGAGTAGAAAATCTGTTTTCAGTCTCTTGCTTCAACACTTCTGCTTCATGACAATTTTGTTACCAGTTTGAATAAATACAAATAATCAAATTATGAGGTGAAAGTCTGCTCTTTTGTACTCTTGTATGAGCTATTTGAATATGAAAGATAAAGTATCCTTAAATTTAAGTTGAAATAACATTGAATATTTTCTTGACTGTGCCAGCTCTTTCCTTATTCTGCTGAGGCTATAAATACAGATTTTTACTTCCAGCTGGCCTTATATCCAACCATCTGCTTCTAGCGAAAAAAAAAAAAAAAAAGACTCAGACTCATTCAACCTGCAGATTGCTTTTGGCATGGAGCTATCTCAGTAGCAAGAACCTTGCAGAAGTTGGTTTATTTCATTTGCAGGAGGAGGTTTACTCAAGCTTCTTCCTTTTTTTATTTTCATTTTTGGCTTGAAGAGGGTTTAAGATTCTGCTTTGAGATGTAGATTCCAAAGACTATGTGAACATGCAGTGAAACTAAACCAAATCCAGAGATCTTCATTTGGCATCACAGTCATCTGAAAATGAGAAGGGAAGAGGGCAGACCTAGGAGACAGGCAAAGGGAACGTGTATCACTGGACCAAATGGCTATGTTTCTTCTAAGCTGCCAAGGGAAATTGAGTTTGTAATTCTTATTACAGGTGATAGGAACAGGGCATCCAAACTGCTTAGCTAACCTAAAAATTGTTTCATTGATTCTCCAGCAATCAGGCCCTTTGCCTTTTTCAAAGATGTTCCTTTAACTCCTCCAGGCACAACTAATTTTTAAATTACTGAATGAAAGTTTTTTTAGTTCTCCTTTCGTAGTTTTATTTAGCACAAAGAGCAATCACCTAGGATACTGAAATGGGGTCAGAAAGCATGTATCCAGTGTTTTCCCACATAACAAAACTACAGATCAGCTACAGCAGACTGTGATTTCTAAAATACTGTTGCTGCGCTGGTTCTTTTATTTAGGAAGACCAGAGTTACAGTTCAGGGAGGAGGGACAGATTGACCATGTGCTCCTTTCCCTGCTACTCCGTATCAAGCCACATTGTGAGCTGAAAGGATGGGAACAGACAAGAGCATCATGCTAGTCCCAGGTAGACTAGTGTCAATCAGAGGAAAAAAATCAGCAAACTGGCCAGAATAGTCTTCCCCTTTCTCACTTCTTGCTGATTTTTCACTGCTGGGGATAGAAGTGAAACAGACTGTAGCTTATTTACACAATTGTTGCCCTCCTTGAAGAAAAATGAGTAAGGATTGTCATTTTATTACTGGCTAATGGATCCTTTTTTCAGAGGATGCAATAGCAGATGAGGCAGAATAACTCTATGACTGCAGTTTCTTGGTTGTCTTGGCTAGAAGCTGCTGTTGTTCTCAGGCAGCCAGAAGCTGCTTGCTCTACCAGATTTTCAGCCAATGCTTGGTCTTTTCACGGGTTAAATGTGGGTTTCTGGCATTCACACATCCTTAAAGTTTTTCGGGAGAAGTCCAATACCTAACACAGATATCTAGGCATGGTGTAGAAAAGTCTATTTCTACATATCTTTGATGTGATTCAATCGCAACGTGGTCTACATTCCAAAGTTCCTCCACACCAGCTTTTTATTCTATCACAAGGTTTAGATAAGATTCTCCATTAAATATTAAAGCTGACTTCTTACTGTGTTTTATATGCCTCAACTACAATTTTTAGTGTTGACGGTGCAATTTAGCTGGTTTTCTTAATTTTATTTACAGTGGTATAATTTTTGCTCTTCATAAAAATAAACTAAACCTTGACTGACAGTGTGATGTCAACTTAATTAAAAAAAAAAAAAATCAGTTAAAAAAATACCTAGCGACATCAGCTTGCATCAACAGTTCTCTAGGGACTCAGAGTCTCCTGGCTGATTTCAGTTTTATCTGGAGCTGTTGACCCTGTTGGCACTTGGAGCATGTGTGAATGGTGAAGGAGGGGCAAACAGAGAGTAAAAGCATTCTTCCAGTCTGAATCAGCTGAGGTGGATGAAGCCTTTCTGAAAAGAATGCTGCCAAGTTAATAAGAAAGGAAGAAGGGGAGAAAAAAAAAGAACCAGCTCAAAACCTAAAAATAAGTCTGAGGTAGGGCACTGCTTAGCCTTAATCTGTTTTACTGCAAATTGCTGCAGTGTCCTCTTTAGCTTACTGAGGGGAAGCCTGAGCACTTGTACATTCAACCAGTATGAAAGAGGAGTACTGGTCTGTGGGCATGGACTTTAAAATGTATTTGTGGGAGACTCAGCACTGCTCTTAAATGAATTACTGACAAGGATACTCTGGTACCTGCTTTCTCTAATTGCTCTGCTGGTTTTGACATCTTCAGTTTTCTCCTTTCCTTCAGAACTATTGCTGCTCCTCAGTCTTGTCACACTGACCACCAGCTAAGTTCAGGCTTGGCTTTATGCCAGCATGGGGGACAGGCAGTATACAAGTCAGAGGTAGGGGAAAAAATTTCATTCCCTCTTTTAATGGCAGGTAGGCACTGTACATCTGTTTCTGAATGTATGATAGGGGAGCCATGTGGGTTAGATGTCTCCTCACAGCCCAGTTGTTTTTCTCCCCTGTAGTAAGATAAACAGCCCTGTACTTGGTGTGTAGCAGAGAAGGAAAAGTGATTCCTCCCAGAGGCAAGGTAGGCATTCCGCCACTCTGTTCTTAAAAGAATTGCCAAATAGTGCTTATCTAGGTCTGACCCTGATACCGTATTCCTTATTCACCCAAACCAGCCACAGTGAGTGTGTGTCCCACGAATACACGTAAAGAAGACTATGTGGAGCAAGATAAAAGCTTGTCTCTGAGTCTTGCTGTCTTTCTGTTAAGAGATGCCATATGCCTTGCCAGGTCCACAATGAAATAAGAAGGCTGCAAAAAGTAGAACATCGCTAGAGGCAGGGAGAAAACACTGATTCTTAAAAACTGAATACTGGCTGAACTCAAGGCGATACACACAACGCTGACAGCTCTGCAAGGTGGTGCTCAGCAAGGGCAAGCAGTGATTTTCATCACCAGCACACATTTCACATAGGTAACTAAGCACATTACTGCTCAGAAATCCTTGCAGTGCACTAACAATGCAATCACTTTTTAGAGTCATTCGAAGGGAACAGGGGAATTCAGCAATTCATAATTAATCCTAAAAGCACATTTTTTCTATTTTTTTTTTAAATTATTTTTGTTTTTATTGTGTCATTTAATATGAAGCAATCAGCTGCAACTGTGTAGGATTTAGGAGAATTTTTGCTTCTAACATTGATTTTAACATTTAACATGAAATGACTGCAGGGGCAATAGATTACTAGTTGAAAAAATGACAATTACAAGGGAAAGGCACATGCAAATGTTTTCAATGGGCAGTTCAGAAACACTTTGTTTTATCCCCATTTGTTTCTTTAACTGCCCACATTAAGGTACAGTAGAGTTTTGGACTTCAGTGCGGTGGTTATTATATCAGCAAAAGTAATTTCCCTGGTGTTAGAATTTAGTCAGGGGTTATTCCATTTTATTAATGTTCTACAAACTGTCATAGAACAAAGAGGATTAGTCTCAAGCATCTCCATAAATCTCCATCTAGTTCAGAGCATAAAAAAAAAAGGAAGCAAGAAAACCCAACTCTAAACTTAAAACCAATTAAAGTGAAGAAAATTCTAACAACCCTTGCATCCTCCTCAGTTTGGTGACCTAAAATGGAGCAATGATGCAATCAAAGATCAACTACTAAGAGAAGAGATTCTCAGAAGTGCCTAGCCTCGGGTCCTACAGCTATGTTAGGGGTACACCTGGGGAGCGCAGCTGTATTTTACAACTTTTGGCACATTTCCCTTGATAGGAGTGGGAGATTTTTATCCTGCTTAGAAAATCTCTGCCAAAGAATGTGGATACTAATTTTAAAAGCACCTGCATCCCATTATAGGTCTGCCTGACTTTGGTTTCAAAGTGCTGAAATCTAATTTTAAGATTGGACATAGGCTCTTAAATCACTTTAAACTGAATGTTCTGTCTTATAATATTTTCATATTCGTTTTGTTACATGTAAAAAATTAATGTATTTTTTATACATAGTCATTATTATCCTTACTCCAGGTTATGCCAATTATTTTTGTTTTCAACCACTAAGCAACAAACCTATGGCTCATAACTGCTGAAAAATTGAGAGGTTGCTGAACAACTCTGATCTTCCCATTGCTGAGAATTTCAAACCAAGAACAGTGGTATCAACAATAAAGAATAAAGAATAAAGTTTCAGTTCTGAGCCTTTTGAGGATTTGTTTAGAGGCATAAAACCAAAAAAAGGTTACTCATACTGAACTAACGTTCCACTTCTGTCTTCTCTCCATTAAAAAAAATCTTCCTAACACCTGGAAAAACTTGCCCCTCTTGCTCTAAGATACTGCCCCTGAAAGAAACATAACCACATAGTTATTAAAATGGCATCAAGAATAGCTAAGTAGTCTGTAATTGGAAATTAGCTTTGTGTTTATGTGTTATCTACAAATATACAAGATGAGAATGACAGTGGATAGAGGTTCATTATATCTGGCAGTATGTTAGCCTTTTTGAGGCTATCATGTTTTAAACATTATTTTAGTATTATAATCCCCATATTATGCATGGACAACCGTAGTTTACTTGGCATTGGAGAAGAGTTCATTCCTTGTATCAGAGCATTTGTATGATTTAATTCACTTTTATAAATAGTAAGATGACTGTATTTCCCAAGGAGTATGCAGAATGTATTAAGTTCTTTCTTTTTGTCCAGTATGCATTAACATTTTAATAGTAGCTTTGAAATTAAAATCAGGACTAACAAAAAGACCTCTCTCTCTTCAAGGCAGAACTCAACTCTTCTATGCCAGCAATGTCTAGTGGGTTGCCTTCCCTGGGTGAGATCCAGGGCCGTTACAGTAAACTGGTCCAGTGTGATATCACAGATATAAAAAATATTCCATTCTGTATCAAAACTAGGCACATGCCTTCTATTTATATGAAGAGAAGATCAACAGAGCTGAGCATTTTTGCTCTCAACTATTTATCTCTGGCCTTCTATCATACATGAGGAGAAAAATATCTTATGTTATTTCTAATTGGTAACTACAAGAGTCTAATTTGGGTTAGATGGTAGTTAAAAGGAGGGTGACATCACACTTGGGTCAGTATTGGTGGATATCTAAAAGCACAACCTCTCATTTGTATTGCTTCAAAATGTACACAGTATAGATGTAGATTAAAAAAAACTACCAATTTTTTGTGGTGTTGAACCAGCTAGAAGGGATGATGCAAAGTTTTACCAAATGAGATCTATAGATACAAATTTCACTGTAAAGTATGTTTTAAACAAATGTGTCTTTTTCTTTAAGTATGTAAATCCTACACTGTAGGCTTTTTTTCTCTTTTTCTTTTAATAGTGGTAGAAAATGTTGAACAATTGTCCATGAACATGAGCCAGCGGTTCATTGCTGATATCCCCAGAATGCCAATATTTGCAATGCAAACAGTTAGTACAATTTACCAGTTCTATGAAAGGCCCTGACATATCTGCCTCAAGGTCTGGAGGCTCTGCTGTATAACCACAAATAGTCTTTCCATTTTCATGTAACTTTTTGATACAGTGACAGCTGCATTAAGCTGCTTCTGCCTAGCAATTCCACATGCCAGGCTGGTTTAATTGGTTTTAATGCCACAGAAAAAGCACTGCTAGCAGAATACCATCAAATCATTTTCATATTGAACCTTCGTGGTCCAGCAACCTCCCCTTCAACCACAGCACCATTGTTTTTGCGAGGGACATATTCAAGGTCAATGCTGGTTTTGTGTTTGCCTTTCCCTCGGCTCCACACAAAAAGAAGGAGGAAACAAAATAAAACCACTCCAAGGAATGTGAAACAGCCCATAGCTGTGGACACCAATATTGTCTTAAGGTCCAGAGAGAAGGTGTTCGCATTAGTTCCATTGGAACTTGTGTCGTTGGAGTCTGTCATATACATAGGGGTCCTGTTGGCGTAAAGGAAACGGTCTGAAGTAAACCCCTTTACCGTAAGGGAGGCCGAATAGGTGTCATTCCCAGCTGCATTACTTGCAATACAAACATAGATCCCAGTGTCCTGGTCTTGAGCAAATCGAATCTCCAGGGTGCCATCTCCCAGCACAGTGGCTCTTCCATTTGATTTAGTTGTGATCAGTCTCCTGCGTGGGGTAACCCAGGATATGGTAGGCTGCGGATCCCCGTCAGCGTTGCACATCAGCTGCACTGTCTGCCCTTCCTCCACTACCAGGTATTGCAACTTCTTGTCTTGTATCTTGGGCTTCTTGCAGGTGAAGTAAAAGGAAAGAGCTGTGCTGTGAAAGTCTTTGAATGACCTCTCTTTGACACTGTCTGGGCCAGCACACATCGGTGGTTGGCCTCCAAACTGCAAAGTGGGTTGCCTCTGTAAAATCCAAAGAAGACGGCAGTCACAGGCCAGAGGGTTGTTGTTAATGCAGAGAACCTCAAGGCTTTTGGAGGAATGGAATACATTCTCTTCTAGGGTCTCTAGCAGATTTTGGGACACATTAAGCACACGTAAGAATCGAAGCCCTTGGAAAGCATGTGATTCAATGGTACGTAGCTGGGCCCCCACCATGTGGAGTTCCTGCAGGCGCACTAAATCTGAAAGCATGCCTGCTTCAATGGTGCTTATAGGGTTGTAAGAGAGGTTTAGATGTGTCAGGTAAACCAGATGTTTAAAAGCAGAGTAAGGTACTGCAGACAGGTTGGTGTTGGTGATGGAGAGAGAAGTAAGGTTGAGACCATAGAGACTGTTGGCAGGTAGCATGTCCAAGAGAGGCCAGGCCTCTATCTCTAGGTCTTTCAGGCGAAACAATCTTTTAAAGGCATACGCAGGCAATGCGTTAATGTTGAGCTGTTTCAGATGCAGACTGATGAGGTTGTGGAGGTGAGAAAGAGCTTCTGTTGGTACAGCTGTGAGGTTGCATCTCTCCAGGGTGAGCTGCTCCAGGCTGAGCAGTCCGCTAAAGGCCCTGTGTGATATATAAACCAAATCATTGTCCCCAACCTCCAGGGATTTTAGGTTATGCAGATCTTGAAACATGTAGTCCAGCAAAATTACAATCTTGTTTTCACTTATATCAAGCTTTGTTAAGTTTGACAACCCAGTGAACACCCCAAGGGGGACCAGTTTCAGACGGTTTCCTTTCAGCCTCAGGGAGCGCAAGTTGAAGAGATTATTAAAGGCTCCAGGCTCCACATTGGCGACAATATTGTCACTGAGGTCAATCTCCTCCAGCAAAGGGTATGATGTGAATTCCTCGGGGTTGACGGTCTTCAGTCGGTTCTTGCTGAGGTCCAAGATTTTGGTCTCAATGGGAATGCCCTCTGGGATGGACATCAGACGCCTTCGGTGACAGCTGACAGATTTGTTCTGTGCTGAGCATTCACAACGGGCCGGGCAGCCTATGGTTGGGCCCATGAAGACTAGCAGCACAGCCAGACCCAGGAACGGCTGCCAGCATGATACAGATGTGTGATGCATGACTCCACTGATCCGGTCTAACCGTCTGTCACTGGCCTGTGGGGATAAGGATGGGAAAGGGAAGAAGTTAGGTCTGCAGCAAAAGTAGATCTCTGCCAATTTTACAGTACCATTTCAAAGCAGGCACATGTGTTTTCAATTGAAACAAAACAATCAAGAGCAGTGTTTCCCTCAGGTTGATTCACGCCCTCTACTCCACTCTCATGAGACCCCACCTGCAGTGCTGTGTTCAGCTGTGGGGCCCCCAACATAAGAAGGACATGGACCTGTTGGAGTGATTCCAGAGGAGGTCACAGAGATGATCAGAGGGCTGGAGCACCTCCCCTGTGAGGACAGTCTGAGAGAGATGGGGTTATTCAGCCTGGAGAAGAGAAGGCTCCTGGGAGACCTTGTAGCAGCCTTCCAGTACTTAAAGGGGGCTACAGGAAAGATGGGGAGGGACTCTGCATCAGGGAGTGTAGTTACAGGAGGACGGGTAATGGTTTTAAACTGAAAGAGGTTAGATTCAGATTAGACATACAGGAGAAGTTCTTTACTGTGAAAGTGGTGTGACCCAGAGAGGTTGTGGCTGCCCCCTCCCTGGCAGTGTTCAAGGCCAAGTTGGACGGGGCTTTGAGCAATCTGGTCTAGAGGAAGGTGTCCCTGCCTATGGCAGGGGGATTGGAACTACATGATCTTTAAGGTCTCTTCCATCACATACCATTCCATGATTCTATGATTCTATGATTGTGAATGGCAAGAACAACAAAAAAGCAGATTTTCCTTCACTATCATTGGGCTTTTCAACGGATCTGTTTATCCAACTTTTCCCCTCTAGATGTCAGAGCAGACAAAACAGCTTTTCCTACTGCAAACCGTAAAGGAGGTTAGGTTTTATTCTTTTTTCACTCTTAGCACGTCTCCTCAAGACAGTGCTATAATTAATGCAGAGATAAACACCATACACTCTGCAAATAGAGGTAATCATGTTTTGCAGCATTGGGCCTCTGTGAGGTGATGTGAAACTAGGCTTTTGCCTTTCCTATTCACATCAGTGTTTTAAGGCAAACCTTAATCATGTATTATCTTCAAGAAAATGAGCTCCTTGATAATGAAAAGATTTCTTTTAACATTTATTGCATACATTACAGCTATAAATAGATGGAGCTTATTCGCACATACACATACACAATAGCTCAGATGAGGAAGGAAGAAGTGGTGCATCTCTGATTAGAATTTGTATTAAGGACAAATTGATTCTTTGCTTTTACTGCACAGAGATTTTTTATGTGATCTTTAGAAAGACTTGAGAAAGTTTACAGAATACAGCTTTGTACTTCCAAGACATGTAAACTAGCTCTGAGGGACAGAAAAACAAGATAAGATGATCTGGTTGTGTTAGAGCATCAAAATGTCCAAAGAAGCACAACAGTTAGTAAGAGATTTATTCATTCCTGTCTTCAGGATAAAACTGGAGGTGGTAGAAGACAAGATAACCTCTATTAAATTAACTACACTTCTCCAAAGGCTGTACTTTACAGGTTTAGTTACCATAGGCATGAGACTTTTTCAAGGGTAGCTACTAAATGAAGACACTCAAAAACCCATTCAAAAGAAGGAAAAAAAAAAAAAAAAAGAGAATACTGTAGGTGATCGTCAAAGGAAGGTGTGTCTGGTATACTTGCCAAGTAAGGCACACTGCAAGCAAGGACTATGGAACTGCCTTAACTCCTGTGGTACAGCCAACTTGATGAGGCCAAGTAGCAGTAGTAGAAGTTGGGCATTAACAAACCTTACAAGGTGTCTCAGGCCTTGTGAGGTGTTTTCTGGGCTGGTTAATTTGGGCTTCATTTTAGTTGTGCTTGTAAAATTATTTACATAACTCCTGCCTGTAACTTCCTCTCAGGTCTGTACAGATGATTATTGTCCAGCTGGTGCTACCCATAATGACTATGGATAGTCATAAACTATCGAGTGGCCAGGCATTCACTGCCTGACCTGTGTGTCTGGGACTTGAGAATCGTCTGGCTAGTGCTTAGAAAGTTTCCATCTCAAATTTGAGTCATTTGTTGGTCTGTGTGCAGTCATGTGGATTGTATCATAAAAGAAATCCTGTACACAGGAAAGGATACATAGATTCAAACAAATATAACTAAAATTATGATGCAATCAGACAGTTATTTTAGCAAATAAGCTGTTTGAAGTACATAAAAATAATATTGAGTAAACCCCAGACTGATGAAGAAGAAACTCCTACTAGTAATTCTGCTGCAACAACACCATACTCCCCAGACAAACAACTTGAGATGTGATAACTCACCAATCATCCAGCCTGAGAGAGGAGGGTTGCTCTCTCAGACTGTGGATGATCAGAAGGGCAAGGATTCAACACGTGAGAAAAAGAGCAGATACTTGGATCTACTGATCTTGTGTCATCAACAATTCTCAGCAGAAACTAGGTGGTTTGAATTGTAAGCATGAGCATTACTGTAACTGGACTAAGTAATAAACAGCTGTTGTGCTTTGACTGTTAAAAACCTAACTGGGTGAACAATAAATTCTGTTGGAGCTGCATATAAATTGTGTTCTTTGACCATAAATGAATGGTGCACATCACAACTCTCATAAGTCTGTGGAAAAATCTCACTCTTGACTGGTGTGGCTTCTTCTTTCCACTCTGACACTTCTATGCAGAGACTAGTAATAAGAGGCAAATTGCATGCTGGCTTTGCGATGTAGTCTGGGGACCTGGATGGACTATTCTTTATTATACCATCTATAAAAGCACATTTCAACTTTGTCCTAGAAGGACAACCTGCTGAGATTCATTTAGTTTCCCCCTTAAGTTGTAGTCTTGCAAGTAACTATTGCTTGTTATGTCCAGCTGTGACAAAGGTATTCAGAGATAAACTTCACTTCATTAGGCACTAAGTTAAAACTGGAAATCTATAGGGGTCTGTGAGTTAGGTGTTTGCAACGAATTCAGGTAAAAAGGGCTTTCGGGTGCTCTGATCATTACTTTCAGAGCTCAGTCTGTGAGGTTAGTGCTTTCATACTGATACTTCTAGCACGCAGAGAATTCATTTCCTACCTTATTCACCTAATGTATGAAGCACAAAGTAAACAGGTTCAGTGGAAGACAAGCACCCCTGGAGTGTTCATTTTAGATAGCAAAAATATGACATGCTTTTTGCAGCTATCCAAGCCACCTGGTAACTAAAACTTCTGAGGAGTATAAAGTAGAAGATGGACAGTGTAAAAGATGATAAAAGGATTTTTTGACTGTGGCTGGAATAAAGAAAAGTAGCGTTAGTAAGGCACTTCATACATTAACAGTTGCCTTCTGCAAGAGCATGTGCACATAGATGAAGGTGGATATGCATTTCTCTATAAGGCTGCATGCATGAATGTGTAGGCTCTTGCAGGCAAGCAAGATTCAGAACTGTGATTTAAGATGGAGTAAATTACACATCAATAAGGAAAAATAGTAATTACATTAAATTGCAAGTCTGAAAAACAGTGATTACTTAGATCAATAAGTTCAGGTTAGAAGAAAACATAAACTAAATGGATTATTTCAATTTACATAGACCCAGATGATACTACCATGCTTCCCGCTAACCATACCTGTGACTACACCCTTAGCTTTGAACTACTTTGTGGAAAAATGACTTTATCTTCATTACATGAAAAATGTAACCTTACTTCATTGTACAAATAATGAAAAAAGGATAAAAAAGTTTATCAAAGGAAATATGGGCAACTTAAAAATTTCTGACCTTTGCAGGACAAGGTGAATGTTGGGAGAAGTCTACAGTGAACTTTGACCAGCTATTGAATATGGTCCAGTTTTAAATTAATGAAAGAGAATCTTTATTCTCAAGACATGTCTGGTAATGTCACTAGCAGGGCATCCCATAGGCCTTCACTGTGAGAACACTTTGAAAGGATACATCTTCACCCCTAAAGTATATGTTTTTTGTCACTGTGATCACCTTTGCTTATTATTATACATCCAATAAACAACAATGTTACTGTATAAAAATCTGAATGAAATTATACTATTAAAAGATATTTTTCACTGCAAGATTATTTCAGAAAAAATATTTCCCATGTTTTCTTAGACTTGTGGGATGCTAATTAATTGGCAGTCTCAATGGCACTGTGATGAACTAGCTGTGTCACTGTTTAACATGACGTCTTTCATTCCTGCTTAAACAACCAGCACTACACTTTATCCTTTGCCAGTATAGGAATTCCCTCTAAACACCTGAAGGATTACCTCAATATCCTTTGCATTCCTCAATACAACTTTTTTTTTCACTGTGATACATACAAGAAAGTGCATATATACATAGATGTAAGCTTTTTGTTCTGTGAGTGTACTATGCCTTTCAGTGTGGAGTACTTCTCTAAAATTATAGCTTAGCACAAAGATTCTAATAAAACAATAAATAATTGTGCACTGGCAGTTTTTCTATGCTTGAATGTGAATGAGAACATGTAAAATTGTTTTCCTGACTTTTCTGGGGTATTTATAACATTTTGATACACTCTGGGAAATAAAATATATCAAGAGCTTCCTTATTAAAATATAAAAATTAACTACCTCTTTTTTTTTTTTTTTTTTTTGTCATTCTCTAGCTCTGTTCCTCAAGTACAAAGTCAAGAGTCAAGTTACTGTTCACAGATACTATCTTCAGCTATGTAATTAAGAAGGTTCATTAAACTTACTAGTTAATAGTTTTGTGTGATCTCACTCAAACTAGCCATATCTACTGCTTTGAAATGCTAATAATTTTTCACAGGTTCTGCAGCTTTGAACCTATCTGTAAATGCTTTACAAGAATGTGTATGTACCAATACCCCATAGCTTTTAAATTGAAGAACTATAATAAAAAATAAATAAAAGTAACCTGATGCCTCCTGCGAATGCTGTGCAATTCTGAATATCATAGATAGGAATGTGTCAAGCCATCCAAATGTGCTGTATATTTTCCCTCTCCCTCTGACTAAATTTGAAGCCTTTATAGCTAAAAGTCAGAGTGCATTTAACC